ATGATGTTGATGATGCTGCTGCTGATGATGATGCTGGTGACGATGCTTATGATGATGCTCCTGCCGCTGATGATGATGATGCTGATGCTGGTGATGATGATGATGATGATGATGATGATGATGATGATGATGATGATGATAATGATGATGAAGATGATGATGATGATGTTGCTGCTGCTGCTGCAGATGATGATGGTGCTGATTATGATGATGATGAAACTGATGATGGTGAGGATGATCATGAGGATGAGGAGGATGAGGCGGAGGGTGATGACGATGCTACTGCTGCTGATGCTGGTGTTGATGATGATGCTGATGATGATGATGCTGATGATGATGATGGTTTGTTGCTGCTGGTGATGATGCTGCTGCTAATGATGATGGTGATGATGCTGAGGATGCTGCTGCTGATGATGATGCTGATGATGCTGATGATTATGCTGCTGCTGATGATGATGATGCTGATGAGGATTATGATCAGGATGCTGAGGATGATGAGGAGGGTCATGACGATGTTGCTTCTGCTGATGATGATGATGCTGTTGATGATGAGGATGATGATGCTGATGATGAGGATGCTTATGATGTTGCTGATGCTGCTGCTGATGATGATGATGCTGGTGACGATGATGAGGGTGATGCTGCTGCTGCTGCTCCTGCTCCTGCTCCTGATGATGATGCTGATGATGCTGACGCTGATGATGATGCTGATGCTGATGATGATGCTGATGATGATGCTGATGATGATGATGATGATGATGAGGAGGAGGAGGAGGAGGAGGAGGAGGTGGGGAGGAGGCAGGAGTCCGCGGCGGGCTGCTGGTGGCGGCTTCCCCGGCTGTCAGATCTGCCCCCTGCCCTTCGCGTTCCCCCCCACCTCGCCCTTCCTAGAGGGCCACGTGCGAACCCTACCCCTACCCCCCACGATCTCTGAGGGGGAGGGTGGGGTTCACTTTGTTCGGGAGCTCCCGAGCGAAGTGAACCCAACCCTCCCCCTCAGAAATCGTGGGGGTTAGGGGTAGGGTTCGCATGTGCCCCCCTACTCCCGTCTCCCCTCTCCCCGCCCCTCTCCCCTGGCGGCGGCGTGGCGCTGGCCCCCGAGAGGCGAGCCGAGGGCCGAGGTGGGCCCCGTTAGGGAGGCCGCGGCGGCCCCAGCCTGGAGCGCGGCGCGAGGCCTCGCGGCCACGGAGGTGGCCGGCGAGCCGCCGGGGCGGTGGCCTCAGAAGTCCCAAGCCTCGGGGTAATTCGTATCTTGCGCCGTCTTGTTTCCTTTGGTTCCTCCTCCTCCTCCTCCTCCTCCTCCTCCTCCTCTGTAGGCAGCTCGTCCGACCTAATCTAATTTTTTTAGAATAGGTCGCTGCACGGGTTCTCCTCATCCTTGTGCACTTTTGCCTGTGTGTCTGTCATTCAGTGACGCTGCTGCTGTTGCCAGGCTTTTCACAAATGCAGTTGAATGCCCCCATCGGCAAAAGAAGAAGAAGAAGAAGAAGAAGAATAAGAAGAAGTCCCAAGCCTCGGGGCACCATGCCACACGAGCGGCGGCTCGCTCTTGTGAGATGCAGCGGAGGCCCATGTCAAGAAGCACCCTGCTCGCCTCCAGGGTGCCCTGAGTTTCTGGGGTTTCGATGGTTCTGCGATGGAGAAAAGCGTGACGCTCCCACACCAACAGTCAAGGGACGTCCTGGGGTCTCAGGATTGGGCTTCTCGTGGAAGGTTTCTTGTGGACTGGCTTCCATCGTCGTGCGACATTTCAGCGCCCTCCGGCTGTAGACCTCGCTGCCGAGTTGGTCAAGACGCTTGTCATGGTGGTGCGCCTCTGGTTGACCATGGTCTTGGCCAGACTGGTCGATGCCGCACAGGACGTTCAATGCGGCGAAGCAGACGGATGACTGGACTTGGCACCTGGAGCAGAGCCTCCGCGCTTGCTCGACGTCAGGCTGTCGGCACCGTGCAGTTTGCAGCCCCGACGCTTTCGCAAGCGCCTTCGTTCCTAGCCGTCGTCTGGCGCAGCGGGCAGGACTGCGGGTACTCCGCGGGAGGGGGGCCTGGCGAAAGGCGGGGCGGGGGCGCTGCGCCGCACTTCCTCCAGCGTTGCCTCCGCCCTCCTCGCCGAGGGGGGGTGAGGGGGGAGGAGAAGAGGAGGAGGAGGAGGAGGAGGAGGAGGAGGAGGAGGAGGAGGAGGAGGAGGAGGAGGAGGAGGAGGAGGAGGAGCAGGGGCAGGAGGAGGAGGAGGAGGGTTGACTGTAGCCGTCGTTCTCGAAGCAGCTGGTGCTCTCCAGGAAGAGCTGGCCTCCAGCGCGCACAGCGGCGTGCACGCGGCCCTGCCGCAGCGGCCAGGGACCCCGCCCGGCATACGGCGTCACCCCCGCGGCGGCCTCCGCGGTGGAGGCCTCGTGGGCTCGGGGAGTCCCCGGGCCTTTGAGAGATTCTCTAAGCTCAGGCGATCGCAAACATGGATCAAGGGGGCGCGGATCAGCGACGGGTCCCGTTTCCATGGGGAATCGCGGGTTTCCAGCGCCGGGCGAGGCGGCACCGGCCGCATTTTTGGGAGAGCACCTCCCCCGATCCATGGATTTGGTGACCGCGCGCCGAATCCATGGATCGCTACTCTATGTTTTCGCGCCCCCGAATCAGGTCGGGCATGTCCTCCTACAGGCGGACTTCAGACGACAAGTCAACCATAGCCAAAGCATGTTCGAAGATAGGCAAGAGAGCACGAAAAGTCGTCCCCAGACTATTTGTGGCTATTCTGGAATCCTCCACCTGTAGAGGGACCTGCCCGACCTGAGGGAGGCAGGTCGCCCGCCGGCCCTGCCAGGGCGGTCCTGGTGGGCCGCTCCGTGATGCATCAGGAGGCGGCGGAAGGTCAAGCAGTGGCGAAGCGCCCTGGCTCGCCCTGGGAGTGCTCTCAAGCACCCTCTGTGGTCTGCACAAGATGTTCTTAGAGCATTTCTGGCCGAGGTCGTCGTGTTTTAACACATCGGGGCTCGGTTCCGAGAACACGGTTTTTGTGATTCGAGCATGTTTGGGTTCGAAGAACGTTTCGTGGTAGACTTATAGGGATGCCGGATCGGTCGGTCCCTGCTCAAGAAGTGCTGGGGACCGCCGGGGTGAACGGCGGCATTCGGGTATAGCCAGGACCCCAGGTACGGGACCCCGTTGGTGGTAGGGCCTCGGAGCGCCTAAATTTGCCAGAATCACTAAACCAGGTCTGCCGTAGCTCGTGTTTTCTCGGGTGACGGCACTTCCGGTTAGTGGAACGGGGCGGGGGGGCGTCCCCCAGTACACATTACTGAACCAGGTCTCACTAGACCCAGTTCTGCCAACGCCCGAGGCATCTCGCCCCGGACCGGCATCTCGCCGTCGGATAGAGAGGCGGGTGGTCGGCGCAGTCGCCGATGGGGTACCCGCACGTCGAGGTACTCGTGGACCTCTCTGGTGACGTGCGTGGTATCGCAGGCGCGGCTGTCGGAGGTGGACAGACCTCCTTCCCTGCCACGTCGATTAAGGAATTGGCCGTTTTCGATTCGTGAGAGGGCGTCGCGGCCGTCATTTTTGCGGGTCCAGGTCCGTCGGTTTCGGTCCCAGGCCGCTTTCACTGAGGGGAAGTTTGCTAAAGGGAGGTTTGTCCACCGTCGAGGCTGTTCACGGTGATGGTGAGCCTCCCCCATTCGTAGGGGAGCGAACAATGACAGAACGTAAAAACTCGGAGGTCCGCGCGGATTTCTTGGATCCGCGCTGGACCCCTTGGCGGCGCCTCCGGCGCCGCCCTTGAAGCGCTCCGCGCGCGGGGGAGGGGGGGTCCCGCGCGGACCTCCGAGAAGTCCGCGCGGACCTCCGAGTTTTTCTATGCTTCTGTCCTTGCTCGCTCCCCCACTCTGGAGCCCCGCCTCTGGGCAGCACGTGGCCCCTGCGGCGGCAGGTCCTCCGCAGGTCCCACGTGCTGCTCTGGAGAACCCCGGTTCTCCGAGGCCTGGGCCCGTCGGCGGGGCCCGCAGCCTCTCCTCGTGGACGCTCCGCCTGTGCTGTGGGCGACGCGGTCGTGTCGACCGGCGGCGACCCCGCCGCCAGGGCTCCACGCGGAGAGCCCCCGAGCGACCCGCCATCGGCCGATGCGGAAGGATCGGGCGCTTCTGGGGGAACGGAGAATGGCACAAACAGAACAGCTCGGAGGTCCGCGCGGGGTCCTCGGATCGGCGCCGGGCCCCCCTGGCGGCGCCTCCGGCGCCGCCCCTGGCGCGCTCCGCGCGCGGGGGAGGGGGTTCCAGCGCCGATCCGAGAAATCCGCGCGGACCTCCGAGTTTGTATGTTTATGTCATTCTTCGTCCCCCTAGTTTCGGAAGCGGCCGATCGCTCAAAAGGTTGAACGGTCCCCGCGGTGTCAGAAGCTAACGCCGAAGTTCGGCTGTGAGCGAGGGCGGGAGAAGTGGGAAGGGGCGGGCCTCCTCAGAAGGCTCGTGAGTCCCCAGGCCTTCGGAGAAGTTTTCCAAGCCTTCTCAGAAGGCCCGAGGCCTTCTGAGAAGCCCCGCCGCCTTCCGATAAGGCCGTCTCCTTCTCGCTTCCCCCCCCGCTCGCCGCCGAGAAGTCGACACGACATGAGCCTGCCGTGCGCGCGCGCGGTGCCGCGGCTGCCGGCAGTGCCTCCAGCCTCCCGGCGCCACGGGTGCCGAGGCCGGGCGCGCCTCGCCTAGTGCCTTCCGCCCCCGCGTGGCGTGGAGGGTTCTCGTTCGAGAGTGCAGCGGCTCGTCGTCCTCCTCCCCGCCCAGCATCCTCGCCACCTCCTCCTCCTTGAGAGAATGAGCGAAAACGACGTTCGCTCATTCTCCTCCTCCCCGCCCGTCGTCCTCCGCCTCCCACCGTAACCGTTGTGGCGTCCCACTGAGCGCGAGACCCTTGGCTCCGCATCTCACGTTAACGGGTTTACGGTGCGTGTATGTTGAAGGGGTTCCCAGTGCCCCAGGCGCGGGTGCGGGTCCACTTGGGCTTCACCGAGACCTACGACTCGGTCCGCGGCGAGGCAGCTCGCTCCCGCCGCCCCTCTCTCTCTCTCTCTCTCGCTCTTTTCGGTTATCTCTCTCTCTCTCTCTTTCCTGTTTGTTTGTTTGCTGTTCTCTCTCTCTCTCTTGCCTCTTTCTCTCTTTCTCTCTCTCTCTCTTTCTCTTTCTATCCCTATCTCTCTATGTTTTTTTTGTCCATCTCCCCATTTGTTCTCTCTACCTGTTTTGCCATCTCTCTTTCTCAATCGTTTTTTTGTCCCTCTCTCTCTCCCTCTCTCTCTCTCGTTCTCCCTTTTTTTGTCCTCTCTTTCTATGTATATATGTATACCAATATTCAACACAACAGTCATCATTATCACCATACCCACCATGAATATACTCATCGTCACCGCCATCCTCACCATGAGCATCATCACCACAATCGCATCATCCTCATCATCGTCATCACCATTGCAAGCTGCATCATCGTAGCCACTACCATAATCATTATACTTGTCATTCTCATAATTTCTATCATCTTTCCCATTACCTTCACCACCAGCATCACCATTGCACTAGCATCGTCGAAGTGGCCACAACCATCTTTATCACCATCACCACCATCATCAGCATTACCATTCCCATTCGCACAATCATCTCAATCACCATTACCACCACCACCAGCATCATCATCATCAGCATCATCAGCATCAACAGCATCACTTCCATGATCATCGACACCATCATCGTTAGCAGCACCGATTTCATCATGATGATGCTGATGATGAACATCAGCATCGTCATCGTCATCGCGCTGCTGTGTTGCCCAGATCCTTCTCTTGCACAGCGGCATCGGTCTTTCTATCTCTCTCTCTCGTGAGAGCAGGTGGGACCATCGGGCGGGTCAGCACTGCCACAGGATGCTGTCTTAGCCTCGATGAAGAAGCACTGCCGCTCACGTCGCAGCACGATGCTCAATATCGGAAACTGGAGCATATACATTACCAGTGGCGGGCGGTTTTTCAATCCCAGGACTTTTTCGAGGGTCGGGGACGACGTTGGGGTGGTGTGGTGTATACTTTTTTCCCCGTTTCCCCGTGGAAGCAGCAAAACATGCATACACCAGGATGCCGTATACACTAGAATCCGTTTCTTGTGCGAATCTCAATGCGGGACCGGAAAAACATCAGTGTATAAAGTCCGGTTCCTGACAAGAAGCAGGCGGCGGGCGAGTTGAGTTCGACAAGACGTTCCGCACGTTCGACGGGTTCAGGAAGGACCCCCCTGGACGAGGAGGACCAGTCATCCTCGAGGCTTCTCGGCAAGTTCTTCGAGGCGGAGGCCGACGGCTGCGAGAAGGATTCGGGGTCCGAGTCCTCCTTGTCCTGAGGGCCGGCTGTGCAACGGTGTAGAGTCCAAGATGGATCTCAGGCTGAAAAGCCAGATCGTCGAGATCGACCGCGACGCGGAGCGTCGCTGTCATTTCGCCGCGTTGAGGACCGCGCGCGCCGCGCGCAGGGGGGAGTTCTGGACGAGCGGCTCCCCGCGGAAGGACACGTGGTTTTTGCAGAGCAGTGGCGCGGAGCCGCGCGATTCGAAAGTGAAGGTGGTCAAGAAGACGGGGGTCCACGCGAAGATTTTTCCCCTCGCCGAGAAGTTTATTGTGCCGTTTCCCGCGTGCCTGTTTCACGAGCTCAAAGAGGTCGGCCACAATCTCATTGCACGAAAGGAACAGCCTGGCGTGTCGGATGACCACTACAAAAAGGCGGTGGAGAAGATCACCACTGACCTGATTCTGGGCCACTACAAGGCCCGCGACACGGTCGAGAGGGACTTCGAGGACATGGGTGATTTCTTCAAGTCTCAGTCGAAGGACTTGTACAAGACCGCGGCCGATGTTATGAGAGATAGGTGGAGGGCGTTCAAGGAGAGTTCAGTCAAGACGATGCCTCCATTGGATGAGGAGCTCTTGGCGGACCTCGAGCAGATTACTGCCGTGGGCGCGACCTCCTTCGGGCGCCCCTGTGGTATCGCAGGCCAGCTGTGCAAGTCGGAGGCCATCTTGGCTGAATGTGTGTACGGTCCATTCCGCATGACGTGAGCGGCGCCTTGTGGTCAGTCCTCGAGGGCCCCGAGCGCCTTTCCCCTCCCGGAGCCGCGTGGCTCTACAAGAGGGGGTGCGCTCAGGGGGCCAGTGCCACAGAGCCCTACGTTCTCCGTGGTGGCCCGCTGACCCGCGTTCCAGGATTCGCAGTGCACTGCCCTGCACTTGTGCTGTCCAGGGGGCCCACAGGGGGGCTTTAATGACTGTGTGAATCATCGTCACCATCACCATCACCGTCACGCCGATGCTGCTGCTGCTGCTGCTGCTGCCGATGACGCCGACGACGATGATAGTGTTGCCGACGACGACGCCGATGACGACGATGATGATGATGATGATGATGATGATGATGATGATGATGATGATGATGACGATGCTGATGACGACAGTGGTGGTGGTGACAATGATGAGTATGAGGATGATGATGATGATGATGATGATGATGATGATGCTGATGACGCTGCTGCTACTGGTGATGATGATGATGCCAACGATGCGGATGCTGGTGGTGGTGATGATCAGGATGCTCATGCCGATGATGATGGTGATGGTGTTGCTGACGATGATGATGCTGATGCTGCTGGTGATGACGATGATTATGATGATGCTGCTGATGCAGGTGATGCTGCTGCTGGTGATGATGACGACGATGCTGATTGTGATTATGATGACGATGTTGCTGCTGCTGTTGCTGATGCTGCTGCAGCTGCTGCTGCTGATGATGCTGCTGCTGATGATGATGACGATGACGATGACGATGATGATGATGCTGATGATGATACTGCTGATGCTGCTGCTGCTGCTGCTGCTGCTGATGATGATGATGATGATGATGATGATGATGATGATGATGATGATGATGCTGATGATGCGGAGGAGAAGGAGTGGGTGGAGCAGGAGGAGAGGGATGAGGAGCAGGAGGAACAGATGGAGGATCATGATGATGCTGATGATGATGATGATGATGATGATGATGATGAGGAGGAGGAGGAGGAGGAGGAGGAGGAGGGAGGAGGAGGAGGAGGAGGAAGAGGAGGAGGAGGGGGGAAGAAGGAGGAGGAGGAGGGAGGAGGAGGAGGAGGAGGAGGCGAGGCGGTAAGTTGGGGGCCGAGGCCAGCTCGCTGGGTGGGGTGTGTGTGGGGGGGGGGGGCGGTCAGGTGCTCCAGCTGCTCGAAGAGCGGCTGAGCAACTGCCGGTCCGAAGGCCCCGTCCGTGCGCATTCCGTCGTCTCCGTCGGCCTCGCCCCTCGCTCTCCCTTCTCGTCCTCCCTCTTCCTCCTCCTCGTCGCTCCTCCTCGCTCCTCCTCCTCGCTCCTCGTCGCTCCTCCTCGCTCCTCCTCCTCCTCCTCGCTCCTCCTCTTTGTCCTCCTCGTCGCTCCTCCATGCTCCTCCGCCTCCTCCTCCTCGCTCCTCTCCCTCGTCCTCCCAGTCGCTCCTCCTCGCTCCTGCTCCGCGTCCTCTTTGTCGCTCCTTCTCGCGTCTGCTCCGCGTCCTCCTCGCTCCTCCTGCTCTTCCTCATCATCCTCGTGCTCCGCCTCGTGCTCGCTTATCCTCGCTCGTGGATGATGAGGATGAGGAGGAGGAGAAGGAGGAGGAGGAGGAAGAGGAGGATGAGGGGGAGGAGGAGGAGGAGGAGGAGGAGGAGGAGGAGGAGGAGGAGGAGGAGGAGGAGGAGAAGGAGAAGGAGAAGGAGGAGGAGGAGGAGGAGGAGGAGGAGGAGAAGGCATTTGGCCGACTTGCTGCCCCTTAGGTGTGGGGGACTCGCCCTGCCCGCCGCTGTCTCGCGTGGCATCCCGCGGTCCGCGCCATAGTCGCGACACGCAGAGGTCACGATCCCGCGAGCCTGGCTGGCACCGCCGTCGGCGGCGTGCTCGCGCAGAGGCTCGCCTACTCCTGCGTGATGTTCAGCTCGTGACCCCTTGGCAGGTCTTCGCAGCCCACAACAGCCACGGCACGTGTCAAGCGACGTGGCTTCTCATCCAGGATGGACTTGCGGCATGTGCAGTGCAAGAGTGTATTACTGGTCTTCGTACCGTGGCTGTGGCAAGCCCTTCGCAGATCGTCGCCGCAGAAGCCATAGCCGCCGCAGAGATACCAGTGTTGAGCCACAGCGGCAAACACAGGGTGCACGTACAGCCCAAGGCGCGCCCTGGCGTGCAGCACCGATCATGTCGCCACAGAGAGCGACAGCCAGGTCAGGATCGAGAGCGGGATCCGAAGCCAGGCAAGCAACCTCGCGACGTCGCCAAGGCAACAGAGAAGTACCTGGAGAGAGTGGAGCCAGAGACGCAGCAATGTGCAGAAGCTCATCCATCATTGTCAGAATGGAAGCTCCCAGAAGATCCACGCCATCATCGGCCTTGGAGAGACCGCCTCATGAGCCAAAGGGAAGTTCTCGCCAACATGGCACTTGCTGTTCAGAGGCCGAACAAGCCCGACGGATGATCCACGTAAGAATTCATTATTCTAAAGTGTGCAGCCAACGAACTCAAATATTTCAAGGATCAGCGGTTGGAGAACTGGAGAGGGTGTATGCAGCCCAGGACAAATTACAAACTACGCATGCAAGCAGGCTCCCCCCTATTGGGCACTGTTGGAGCTTTGGTTCCGTGTTTGGAAACCCTCTTGGGGCCCTCGTGGGCCGTCCTGGGGCATTCTGCAGCTATATTGGGTCTCTGGTGCGTCTTTTGGTTAATGTTTGGGGCGAGCTTAGGGCCCTCTTGGGCCGTCATGGAGGGTCTGAAGACGTGGAAGGCACGTGTGTCTAATCGTAACGAAACCGACGGGGCATCAATGCTGTTTGGCTCTTCGGGGCCTCTTGGGGGTACTTTTCGGTTCCTCTTGGGCCGTCGAGGCAGCCGGCTGCCCCTCCTGCGACCATCTTATGTCGTGTGGACCTCGTGGGTTATTTTTGGTCCTCTGTGAGCCGTCTTGGGACCTGCTGGAGCTCCCGTGACCCAGCCCCTTCCGTTCCGTACTTCAGTTATGCCGGAACAAGTTTCTTCGATGTATTGGGGGAATTGGTTTGGTAAGTATAGGTAAATGACTAGGAAGAACAATTCGTAGTAATATGTGTTTCCGGATCACGGGCCAATTTTTGACGGTCCTGGGGCTGGTCATTTGCCAACGCCCTTCCGTCTTGACTTGTGCGCGATGCTGGGGCGCTCCGCTCCGACTTGTTCGTCGATGTTCTTCGTTGGCGATGTTACCGTCTTGCGACGGCAGGTGGGATGCTCGGGAATGGTTAGGGGGCCACATGCGAACCCTACCCCTACCCCCCACGATTTTTGAGGGACAGGGTGGGGTTCATTTCGTTCGGGAGCTTCCGAGCGAAGTGAACCCCACCCTCCCCCTCAGAAATCGTGGGGGGTAGGGGTAGGGTTCGCATGTGGCTCCCTAACGGTGCTGCCAGTGCCGCCTCGTGCAGTCGTCGAGACAGGTGCTGCCGGCGCCTGCCGCGGGCCTGGGCTGCCTCCTCCCCTGGGCCCTGGGAGGCCGACCGGCCGAGATCTACGTGGTCGGGCACTCCATGGGCGGGGCGATGGCGAGCCTGTTCGCGCTGGACGTGGTTGACGTGCTGGCCGGAGAGGACAGGTTTTTGTCGTTGCCCTCGTCGTCGTTGCCGTCGGCGCGCACCGCTGCTCGACGATCGTATGGTTTTTACTCTGCCTTTGGTTCCTTATGGGCTCCCAGGAACGCCCTCGCGGCCACGGCTCTGTCCGCCCCGACACCAGGAGAGGTCGGTCGGTCGGTCGGTCGTCGTCGGCACCAACGTATCCCAAATGTCTTCTGACGGTTGCCAGACTTGGCCATGGACCAGCAGTGGCGGCCAGATCTCACATAGGTTAGCTGAACCACCGAGTTCACATTTCGGATCCAGGCTAGAACACCCGCCCTGCACTCGGATGTTTGCAAACATGAAAGACTAAGCATGGTCAAAGACAAGGTGGTCGTTTTTTGTCGCCGTAGGGAAGAAGGGTCAAGGATGTGGATTGTTCAGCGCCCCTGCGGGGAGGGGATGGGCGGGAGTGGTCTGAGTTCATGCGGTGGTGGTGGTGGTGGTGGTTGTGGTGGTGGTGGTGGTGGTGGTGTGGGGGGTGGGGGGGGCACCTCTGGCTTGCCTCCTCCCTCCCCCTCCTCTCTTCTTCCCTCCCGCTCCCTTCCCCCACCCTTCTGGCTCCCCCTTCTGTTCCTCCCGGCCTGGCTCCCCTCACCCCCTCGATCCGGTTAGATGACAGGGATCGTTAGGGAGATACCTCGTCCAGTGCTCTGTTCCGGGAGGCAGCGGGGGCGCGTCAGTCGGGGATGTGGTGCCAGGGGGGGAGGGTGGAGGAGCAGGGGAGGAAGGGAAGAAGCAGAGGGAACAAACATATTAATCATACGCATCGTTTTAATAACAACAAGAAGAAGACTAACATGAACAATCATAATAATGATACTACTATTAATAATGTTAGTACTCAGAACCAATAAACATAATACGAGTAATGAGACAACTATTAATACGAATGATAATACTATACAAAGTACCAATCATACTATTACTCGTAAGAGGAGGACAAGGAGGAAGAGGAGGAGGAGGAGGCTCAGGAGGACAAGGAGGAGGAGGAGGAGGAGGAGGAGGAGGAGGAGGAGGAGGTAAGAGGAGGAACATGTGGACCAACACCGCATCATTACCTGTTTCCCTCGTCGGCACGACTGGACTCGCCTCGAAAGCCTGGTCGGAGAACACCCCAAGAGAAGCCCGTGGAGCAGCGGCATCAGCATCCCTGCACCCCCCTTAGACGAGGAGGGGGAGGGGGAGGAGGAAGCGAGTGAGAAGAAGGAGGGTGGGGGGCGCGGAGGAGCAGGAGTAGCAGCAGACGGCACAAGCAGGGGCAACCCGTGGCGGGCGACCCGGGCCTTCCCCGGCGGTACCCGCCCTCCATTGGCTTGGCTCGACCTCCTGGGTGGACCCTCAGTAGTGATCGCCTCGCCCTGGGTGGTAGGAAAGAGAAGCGATACCAACACCACCAGGGGGCCACCTCCAGCGACGAGGTCCACGATGCCTCCCCGATCTGGGGATAGGGATGTCTCGAGCGCAAAGAAGAAAGGACCGCACCACCAGGGTGGGCCCTCCCTGGCTTCTCCCGCGGGTAGTCCCTGGTGGTGTTGGTGTCGCTTTCCCACGTTCTTACGGAGATCCGACGTTGCGACAAAAAATTGCAACCTCGCAAAGCATCACGCCCTGAACCCCAGACCCTACCTTTTTGCGCCAGTTCTCCGCGGGCCTCACGCCCGCGCGGGCCTCCGCCCTGGAGCCCGCTCGCCGCGCGGCCTCTGCTCCTGCTCACGCCTCTGCCCCGATTCGATTCGATTTGAATTGGGGAGGAGGAGGAGGAGGAGGAGGAGGAGGAGGAGGAGGAGGAGGAGGAGGAGGAG